GGGTGGGAGGGCGGAGACCCTCAGGTGTGAGTGTGGGTGGGAGGGTGGAGACCCTCAGGTGTCGGTGGGGGTGGGAGGGTGGAGACCCTCAGGTATGAGCGTGGGTGGGCAGATAGAGGCCCTCAGGTGTGGGCATAGTGGGTGGGACAGGTAGAGGCCCTTGGGCACAGAGGCTGGGGTGAATTCCTCTACCTGGGCCAGCACAGGCACCAGCAGAAGGTGGGGTAGGGCCCTGACACCCTCAGGGGCACGCTGGGGGGCCCTGTGGGAGGTTGTTCCACTGAGCAGGGGGCCTGGAAGGGAGCTGGGCAGCCTGGCCCTCCCTACTCTCCCAACCCGGTGTCCTCAGGGCCCTGAGAGGGGACCCTGCCCAGGACTAAGCCCCGAGGACGGAGTGGAGAGGGCAGTACAGGCCGGAGGTGGCTCTGCGGGGAAGCCTGGCCAGCGGAGATGGACAGGGGCTCTTTGGCCACGTCCTCCCACGCCAGAGGCTGGCCAAGTCCACTGACCTGGGCAGAGCCGCCCCCACCACTCACACACAGCTTCAGTCCCCTCTGGGCGGCAGGGTCCTGGGAGGACAAGCCAGGGTCGAGGGGTCTGGGCGGTGGACCCAAGAGTGACCTCGACGTGCTCCGGCCAGGGTCAGCACCCCGCACTACAGCCCCGGGCTCCTCATCGAGAAGAGTGACGTCTACACCAAGGTGTACTCCCGCGCCGGGCTCGCCCTCATGTGGAACCGTGAGGACGCGATCATGGTGCTCAGGGGCCCCGGGCCCGGGCTGGTGGGGGCTCCGTCAGGCCTCTGGGTGGACCCCAAGGGAGGGCAGGGCGGGCAGGGCTCTGACCCCTCACCGAGAGGGCGGGGTGGGCAGGGCATCAGCGCTGGACTTGGGGAGCAGCAGCGGAAGCCGGCCTGGCCCTGACCCCCGGGCCTCACCTTCCCCCAAACGCACTCAGCTTCCCGGGCACCTGCCCTCCCTCCTGTCCCACCTTCCTCTGGCTCAAATGAGCAGCGAGTGGGATCCTGGCCGCCGTCCTGGAGGCCAGCTCACCCGCTCCCTCCCCAACAGCTGGAGCTGGACAGTAAGTTCCGGAACCACACCTGTGGCCTCTGTGGGGACTACAACGGCCTGCAGAGCTACTCGGAATTCCTCTCTGACGGTGAGGCCCAGAGGACTTGGCAGGGGTGGGGTGGGGTGGGCTGGGGGCTCCCGGGAGCCTGGCTGAAGGCCGTGCGTCCCTAGGCGTGCTCTTCAGTGCCCTGGAGTTCGGGAACATGCAGAAGATCAACCAGCCTGACGTGCAGTGCGAGGACCCCGAGGAGGAGCCGGCCCCAGCGTCCTGCGCCGAGCACGTGAGTCCCCCGTCCCGGGTGGGGGTCCCCCGTCCCGGGTGGGGGTCCCGGTGGAGCTGGCCTCTAGGCAGCGTGCTCACCCACGTCCATTCCCAGCGCGCCGAGTGCGAGCGGCTGCTGACCGCCGAGGCCTTCGCCGACTGCCAGGACCGGGTGCCTCTGGAGCCGTACCTGCAAGCCTGCCAGCAGGACCGCTGCCGCTGCTCCGGCGGGGACGGGCACAGGGACGCCTGCGTCTGCAGCACCGTGGCCGAGTTCTCCCGCCAGTGCTCCCACGCCGGCGGCCGGCCCGGGAACTGGAGGACCGCCTCGCTCTGCCGTAAGCGCTGGTGCCCTGCGGGCAGGGTTCTCCAGGGGGGACCCATGCTGTCCCCCCTCACCTCGGGCCTCTGCGGTTGCAGCCAAGACCTGCCCTGGGAACATGGTGTACTTGGAGAGCGGCTCGCCCTGCATGGACACCTGCTCGCACCTGCAAGTGAGCAGCCTGTGTGAGGAGCACCGCATGGACGGCTGTTTCTGCCCGGAAGGTGCGTGTGGAGGAGGCCCAGCCCGGCACTGCCCACTGGGCGAGACGCCTGCAGCCCTGGCCTCGAGTTCTCGCCTGTGCTGAGGGGACGGCTCCGCTGGGTGGTGGGGGCAGCGGCGCCACAGAAGTGCCTCTCCCTCCACCCAATACCCGGGCAGGTCCAGGGAGAAGGGGCCTCGGTGTGAGGCTCTTCCCCAAGGATGGCTTCAGGGAGGCCGGGAAGGGGGCTGCCTTCTGGTCATCACCCTGGGGACAGACCTCCTCCTGCCCGGCCCCTGGCCCGGAGCCTGGAGGCCTTTGGGAGGAGCTCGGCTATCAGAGGCGGGAAGGTAGCCTGGAGGCTGGGGCCCCAAGGCCAGACCCCAACCCAGGGACCTGGTCCCAGGTGGGGACCGCAGGCATCAGCCCAGAGGGCCGAGTGGCCCCCCAGTGGGGATTCTGGCTCTTTCTGAGCTAGCCTGGTGATGCTGCCTCCCTGGCCGTCCCAGGCACCGTGTATGATGACATCGTGGGCGGCGGCTGCGTTCCTGTGAGCCAGTGTCACTGCAGGCTGCACGGATACCTGTACACACCGGGCCAGGAGATCACCAATGACTGCGAGCAGTGGTGAGTCCCGGACCAGGGCTGGCACGGCAGAGGCGGGGGCGGCAGAGCCCTGACCCCGTGCCCCCCACTCAACAGCGTCTGCAACGCTGGCCGCTGGGTGTGCAAAGACCTGCCTTGCCCTGGCACCTGCACCCTGGAAGGCGGGTCCCACATCACCACCTTTGATGGGAAGAAGTTCACCTTCCACGGGGACTGCTACTACGTCCTGGCCAAGGTAGAGGCCGCCCAGGGGCTGGGGCGCGGGGCAGAGCTGGGCTGGCATCCAGGCCCTCAGCTGTCCGGGGCTGGTGGGCCGGCTGTCCCTGAAGCACAGGATGCCTGTGGGCTGTCCCGGGGCAGGTGATGGGGCTTCTGCTCTCTAGCTGGAGGATGAGAAGTGGGCCTTCCCCTCTAAGCCACCGCCGGGTCCTAGGGCGCAGGGTGCTGCCCGCCCTGGCCCTCAGCAGCTACCCTGCCTCCTGCCCTGTCACAGGGTGACAATGATTCCTATGCCCTCCTGGGCGAGCTGGCCCCCTGCGGCTCCACGGACAAGCAGACCTGCCTGAAGACGGTGGTGCTGCTGGCCGACAGGAAGAAGAATGTGAGTGGCCCCGCCCTTTCCTTCTGGAGCCCCGGGTCCCCCGAGGGGGCCCTTCTCTGCCCTGACCACCCTCGGCCCTTCCCCAGGTGGTGGTCTTCAAGTCTGATGGCAGCGTGCTGCTCAATGAGCTGCAGGTGAACCTGCCCCATGTGACTGGTGAGTAGCGCCCAGGGAGGAGCCCGGGCCCTTCAAGCTCCACGCGGCCTGCAGTGATTCGGGCAGTCCAGCCGCTTCCAACCCAGGAGGCTGGGTGGGAGGATCCCACACTGGGAGGGTCCCTGTGGCGCCCCGAAGGCTCTGTCCTGGGTCCTGTGCTGGAGGGGGCGGTGGGAGGGCGGCACCTTCCGGCTGCCCACCTGGGGCTGGCAGGTCCCGGGACCCCGCCCCTTGCCCCGCCCATCTCCCTGCCGCTCACCGTGCCCCTGCCCGCAGCGAGCTTCTCCATCTTCCACCCATCTTCCTACCACATCGTCGTGAGCGTGGCTGTCGGCCTCCGGCTGCAGGTGCAGCTGGCCCCGGTCATGCAGCTCTTCGTGACGCTGGACCAGGCCGCCCAGGGGCAGGTGCAGGGTGAGTGGCCCCACCGAGCTCGCCCCCACAAAGGCCCATAGGGGGCCCTGCCCTGCCAGCTCCAGACCCTTCCCAACCTGCCCTTGCCCCTCAGGGCTCTGCGGGAACTTCAACGGCCTGGAAGGCGATGACTTCAAGACAGCCAGCGGGCTGGTGGAGGCCACAGGAGCCGGCTTCGCCAACGCCTGGAAGGCACAGTCCAGCTGCCGTGATAAGGTGGACTGGCTGGACGACCCCTGCTCCCTGAACATCGAGAGTGGTGAGGCTTGGCAACGGGGGCGCCCGCCCAGCCCACCTGGGGGACCCACTCGTGGCCTCCATGGGTAGATGGGGCTCCAGTTGGATGCGTGTGTGGGAAGGGCAGTTAGGCGGCTCTCCCCATGGGGCAGCACGGCACCTTCGACTTCCTGCTGGGGCTGGTTTATGGTGGCCATGGTGGCAGCCCGCCAGGTGACCCAGAAGGGAGCCTGGGCTGGATCCTACTGGGATGCTGGGCCCTGGGTGAGAGGTGGGAAGTGGTGGGTGCCCTGCAGGGGGCTCTACCCAGCCTAGGGCTGCCTGGAAATCTGATTCCGGGGGAGGAAGCGGACTGGGCGTGGGTACACAGGGGGAATCATGTCTGGGTTCCAGGGGATCTCATGGGGGTCCCAGGTCCCACTGAGGTTCCGATACCCACTCCCCAGCCAACTACGCTGAGCACTGGTGCTCCCTCCTCAAGAAGACAGAGACCCCCTTCGGCAGATGTCACTCGACCGTGGACCCCGCTGAGTATTACAAGGTGGGTGGGACCTGCACCCCCAGCCCCCCATGCCGTTAAGATGGGCTCAGGGCATCCCAGCCCCCTATGCCATCGTGAGGTAGACTCAGGGCACCCCAGCCCCCCATGCCACACGTGAGGTGAACTCAGGGCACCCCAGCCCCCTACGCCATCGAGGTGGACTCAGGGCACCCCAGCCCCCCACGCCNAGGGCACCCCAGCCCCCCACGCCATCGAGGTGAACTCAGGGCACCCCAGCCCCCCACGCCATCGAGGTGAACTCAGGGCACCCCAGCCCCCCACGCCATCGAGGTGGACTCAGGGCACCCCAGCCCCCCACGCCACACGTGAGGTGGACTCAGGGCACCCCAGCCCCCTACGCCATCGAGGTGGACTCAGGGCACCCCAGCCCCTCATGCCATCGAGGTGGACTCAGGGCACCCCAGCCCCCCACGCCACACGTGAGGTGGACTCAGGGCACCCCAGCCCCCCACGCCACATGTGAGGTGGACTCAGGGCACCCCAGCCCCTCATGCCATCGAGGTGGACTCAGGGCACCCCAGCCCCCCACGCCACACGTGAGGTGAACTCAGGGCACCCCAGCCCCCCATGCCATCGAGGTGGACTCAGGGCACCCCAGCCCCCCACGCCACATGTGAGGTGGACTCAGGGTACCCCAGCCCCCCACGCCATCGAGGTGGACTCGGCACCCCAGCCCCCCACGCCACACGTGAGGTGGACTCAGGGCACCCGGCCCGGCCCGCCGGTTGTGCGTGTGAGGTATGCGACCTTGTATGTGTGAGTGCCAGCCACTCTGCCTCCCGGCCTCACCGCCTGCCCGCCTTGCTCTGTCACCCAGAGGTGCAAATATGACACATGCAACTGTCAGAACAACGAGGACTGCTTGTGCGCTGCCCTGTCCTCCTACGCACGCGCCTGTGCCACCAAGGGCGTCATGCTATGGGGCTGGCGAGAGCACGTCTGCAGTGAGTCTGCCCCTGCGCGCTGCGTCCAGGGGATGGGCTGGGGCCCTGAGCACGGGTGGTCCAGGGAGAGGGGTCGGCTCCCAGGCAGCTGCGGACCAGGCTTCAGCTTCATGGGCCGGCGGTAGTGGGAAACCAGCCCCTCCCACAGCAAGGGGTGGCCATACAGCAGGGACGGAACCTGGGACAGGCCTGGCACTGTGGTGGCCGAGTGTGGGAACGGGTCCCAGAGTGTGCACTTCCTGGCCCCCGGGCCACCCTGGGGATGGGAGCCTCGTGTCTGGCTCCTCATGCCCCTCACGCCACCCGTGGTCCTCTGCAGACAAGGACGTGGGCTCCTGCCCCAACTCGCAGGTCTTCCTGTACAACCTGACCACCTGCCAGCAGACCTGCCGCTCCCTATCCGAGGCCGACAGCCACTGTCTCGAGGGCTTCGCGCCTGTGGACGGCTGTGGCTGCCCCGCCCACACCTTCCTGGATGAGAAGGGCCGCTGCGTGCCCCTGGCCAAGTGCTCCTGCTACCACCGCGGGCTGTACCTGGCGGCGGGGGACGTGGTCGTCAGGCAGGAGGAACGATGGTGGGTGCTGGGCCCCAGAGACCTGGGGAAGCTGAGACGCCCGAGGCTGAGGGGGGCCTGGGCGGGAGCTCTGAGAGTCGCCAGGCTCACATGTGTCCCGGGGAAGCTGCTGCTGTCTGTGGTCGCCCGGTGTGGGCCCTGCTCATCTCCGGCCTCTCCCACAGCGTCTGCCGGAACGGCAAGCTGCACTGTATGCAGATTCGGCTGCTCGGCCAGAGTAAGTGGTGCTGCCCCAGCCACCCCTCCCCTGCTGCCCCTCCCCGCCGCCCCTTCCCGGTCGCCCCTTCCCGCCACCCCTCCCCGCCACCCCTCCCCAGCCTGGCCACCTCTCTCCGCCCACCCGCCTGCCCACCCCGGCTATCCGCCCCAGTCACCCTCCCTGGCCATTCCTTCCTGGCCTGGCCACACCTCCCCAGCCTGCCTGAGACCCCCAGCTTCAGCTGGAGCTGAGGTGGCCCCTCCGTCCCACAGGCTGTGTGGCCCCGAAGATCCACATGGACTGCAATAACCTGACCGCACTGGCCACCTTGAAGCCCCGAGCCCTCAGCTGTCAGACGCTGGCTGCCGGCTATGTGCGTGCTGGGGGGACTGTTGTGGGTGGGGGTGTCCCTGGCTGGCTGGCTGGCTGAGCCTCGCTCCTGAGCTGTGTCCCTGGCCAGGGTCTGGGTGCTGAGTCCTCAGGATGCAGGCCCTGTTGATGCTGTCCCTGTCCCTGGGAGGGAAGCGACAGCTGTGGGCCACTGGACACAGGGGCCAGTGTAGGGCCCTCGGTGGGCAGCCCTCACCAGTCTCCCTGCCCAGTGGCGGGCCTGGGAGCAGGGAGGCCTGAGCCCGGGCCAGAGAGAGAGGTGGGAGGTCCAGGGCATGATGGAGACTGCATTGTCAATCCTGGCCGGGCATCCAATCCTGACCCCAGGGAGGGCTGCAGCCTCACTGGTCCACCCCTGAACCCCACCCTCTGGCTGTCTCCAGTACCACACAGAGTGTGTCAGTGGCTGCGTGTGCCCTGATGGACTGATGGACGATGGCCGGGGTGGCTGCGTGGTGGAGGAGGAGTGCCCCTGCATCCACAACAAGGACCTGTACTCCCCCGGGGACAAGATCAAGGTGGACTGCAACACCTGGTAAGCTGGCCCGGCCCGTCCTGGCTGCCTCCCAGGCCCCACGTGCTCCACAGGGGTGGCCACTGGAGAATGGGCCGAGGGGCAGGTGCCTCTCCTGGGGGGTCCGCCTGGGTCTGGCGAGGTCGTGTGGCGGCCCCTGTCCCACGGCTGGCAGGGGGGGTCTCTCATGTCAGCTGCTGGTCTTGAAGCCATGGGGGGAGGGGCATTTGGAGCCACTTTTGGGGCCAGCATGGGCCTGCAGGTGTCCTGCGTGGGCAGCACAGAGAGCTGTCTGCCCGGTGCCCAGGGTCTCCTCCAGGCACCCACGAGTGGGTGGGGGGGCCTCGGCCCCTGGGTCCCTTCAGGCTCCTCTCTTGTCCTCCTCAGCACCTGCCAGAAAGGACGCTGGGCATGCTCCCAGGCTGTGTGCCACGGCACCTGTTCCATTTATGGGAGCGGCCACTACATCACCTTTGATAGGAAGTACTATGACTTTGACGGACACTGCTCCTACGTGGCTGTTCAGGTGCGGTCATGGCCATGGCCTAGCTGGCTGCTTGTGGTCAGGGACCCTCTGCCTGCCCCAAGCGAGGCCCTCAGCTCCCTGAGAAGTCCTGAGACTTGGGAGGGCTGGCCTTTCCTCAGCCCCAGACCCACGCCTGCAGGGAGATTTGGCCTTCTAGCCAGGGGTGGGTGGGGATGGTAAAATCCCCTCTGTACCATTCCAGTTCTGTGGCCCTCCTGTGCGTGCACGAGGTGGGTGGGGTTGACTGCCCATCCATGGGGACTGAGGGTACCTGTATGGAGAGCTGAATAAGGGCCAGAGCTAGGACCCGCCCACGAGGCTCTCCAGATACAAATCCCACAGCCCTTTGAGGCACCATGATCCCTGGGGACAGGGGATGCGCCTGCGGTTGGGTCAGGGCCCTGGATGGGCAGGAGCAGGGCCAGGTTTGTGTGCTCAGTGGCTGTGGTCCCATCAGCCAGGCTGGGTGTGCCCTGGGGAGTACCTGGGGCCCAGCCATCCTGGCTGACCTCCCCCTCGTGGCCCCCAGGACTACTGCGGCCAGAACTCCTCACGGGGTTCATTCAGCATCATCACCGAGAACGTCCCCTGTGGCACCACGGGAGTCACCTGCTCCAAGGCCATCAAAATCTTCATGGGGGTGAGTGCTGCCGGCCCCGGGAACGTGTGAGCCCTGGGGGACCCTCAGACCAGCCAGTGACTGGGGCTCTCCTCTGGGCAGAGGACAGAGCTGAAGTTGGAAGACAAGCATCGCGTGGTGATCCAGCGGGATGAGGGTCGCCACGTGGCCTACACCACGCGGGAGGTGGGCCAGTACCTGGTGGTGGAGTCCAGCACGGGCATCATCGTTATCTGGGACAAGAGGACCACCGTGTTCATCAAACTGGCTCCCTCCTACAAGGTGGGCTGCCTCCCTGCCTGCCCTGGCCTCCCTGTCCCCTCCTGGCCGCCCCCACCCCATATCCCCTACCCCAGTGTTCGCAGGACAAGCGCCTGCCCTCCCTCCAGTCCGTTTTTGGAGTCCCCGGGATGCTTGTCTCCTGCAGGGCACCGTGTGTGGCCTGTGTGGGAACTTCGATGACCGCTCCAACAATGACTTCACCACACGGGACCACATGGTGGTGAGCAGTGAGCTGGACTTCGGGAACAGCTGGAAGGAGGCCTCCACCTGCCCGGACGTGAGCGCCAACCCTGAGCCCTGCAGCCTGAACCCGCACCGCCGCTCCTGGGCGGAGAAGCAGTGCAGCATCCTCAAAAGCAGCGTGTTCAGCATCTGCCACAGCAAGGTGGGGGGCCGGCCATGG